ATATCAACATCCAGAATATTTTTCCTCATGCATGCCAGTGCTGTGTGTGAGGTAATTTAAGGTGGTTCTGACAAGTGTCGTCGGCATCTTCATATCCGGTCACATGGGCTGCAAGCCACTCCCATCTGGTCACATGGGCGGCAAGCCACACCCACAGAGTAGGTTCGAACAATTTTTGAAACCCACCACTGGTTTCACTCTACCTTCTGGGCAGCTACCATTAGCATGAGGAAAAATATTCTGGATGTTGATATCTGCCATTCCCTAGCCTGCTAGGGAATACCTGAAGAGAAGGATTTTGTTCGGTCAAACAGAATGGCCCAGCTACTGCTACATTCCAATGCTTCTTCCTAAAATTTCACCTCTCCACGAGAGAGGAGTGAAAGACAGAGATTTCCCTCTGAGTAGCTATCTAAGACCACGCACTGCAGGTAGCATCTGTTCATCTAATAGCTAACATAGAGGTTATGCTAGGAGATCTCATTGGCTAGGCCCCCTCCCCCAGAAATGAGCCTTTTCTGTAATGGATACTTCTGGGATAGTAGGTGATGTTGTTTGCTGTCCTTTTTTCCTTTGCTACTCTATTTTACTCCCATAAAAAGAAGACGACTGAGGAGAAATTTTCTGACAGTTAGAACAATTAATCAGTGGAACACCTTGCCTCCAGAAGTTGTGAATGCCCCAATACTGGAAGTCTTTAAGAAGATGTTGCATAGCCATTTGTCTGAAACAGTATAGGGTTTCCTGCCTAGGCATGGGGTTGGACTAGAAGACCTCCAAGCTCCCTTCCAACTCTGCTATTGCATTGCAAGACTACTGGAGAAACAGATGGCTTTTAAAAGTCTGGTTCAATCAATTCTAGAGATCATTGGAAATTTGGCTCTATGGCTGCAGATTAACCCCTTCTACATTAATTCTCAGCCATTGCCTTTCCTAGCCACTGCTTCTTCTCTCCCACAACTGATACCTACAAGCACTCAGCTTCCGCTAACCTTCCCAAAATTTGTTTCCTATCCAAAATATCTGGTTGTGAGGCAAAGTCTGTAGAAAAACTCTCCAGCAGTATGAGAAAAACCATCTCAAGTAATGCAACAACAACAAAAAATACTTCTGGGACTGAAAGTGACAAGATATTTTAAGTAGCCACAACATGTAGACAACTCAAATTAAAATTAATTTCCATAGAACTTTGAAGCTCAGGATTATACCCATCCACCAGTGGTGGGTTTCAAATTTTTTTAGAACCTCTTCTGTAGGTGTGGCCTGCTTTGTGGGAGTGGCTTGCCGGCCATGTGACTGGGTGGGAATGGNTGCCAATTACTTTACCCAAAATATTTGGTCACTGAAGCATGGTTTATAGGTCAGTGTTTCTCAACCTTAGCAACTTGAAGATGTCCGGACTTCAATTCCCAGAATTCCCCAGCCAGCGAATGCTGGCTGGGGAATTCTGGGAGTTGAAGTCCAGACATCTTCAATTTGCCAAGGTTGAGAAACACTGTTATAGGTAGTCCTCAACTTACAACCATTTGTTTCGCAACCGCTCTAACTTACAACGGCACTCAAAAAAATGACTTTATTCGCACTGGTCATGGGATCACCATGTGTGACTTTCCCAGGGAGCTTCTAACAAGCAAAGTCAATGGGGGGAATCCAGATTTACGTCACAGCTACACGATTCATTTAACGACTGCACTGACATCTTAACAAGCATGGCAAAGAAAGGCGGTAAAATTGGGTGTGATTCACTTAACAACCACCTTGATTAGCAATGGAAATTCTGACCCCCCAATTGTGGTCGCAAATTGAAGCTTATCTATATTCTCTTCATATGCCATTTTGTCCAAATCTAAGGAACTGGTTTGGACAAAACTCAGCAGCACTTTTTAGTACGGCTGTTGATAAAAATAGGATCATCAACATGATCGCCAACGTCCAATGATGGATATGGCACAAGAAGAAGAAGAAGAAGAATGCCATTTTGGCTTTGGTGTTAATAACAACTTTGTTTATATTGCAATTGCTTAGTTATCAATTGTGCAACACTTGGTGATTCTAAATGCCTGGATCTTTACTCATTTTCCTAAAACCTCAGCCATTCTCTAGCTTTCTGGCACTTCATTGTTTTCTGTCCAAATTGTACATAAAAGCCTCAAAGCAGCTGACTCAACTGCAACTCCCAAAAAGCATGGCCAAAGTGAAGGATCTGAGGAGTTATATTTGGGATCTAGTTTCCCTAACCTTATTCACTAGCCAGAAATCCACTCCGAGAAAGGAAGAAAGCATGAAGTGAGAACATGGAATTGCTGCAGCTCAGCTGAAGAACCACAGTTGACTTTTGGACTTGTCTTTTCTTATACTATTTATACTGTAACAAAAAAAGTATAAGAACTTGTAACTTTAAGAAAAGATAATAATCTGATGGTTGATTTTGCTTGTTTTTTTCCCCTCGCCCTCAGTCCTTTGTTCTGTAACCTGATAAATTTTCTTTTAAAAGAACATATTTGCAACATAGCAATCAGCCTGAAATTCTTCACATAATTGTGTAAATCTAATTGGATGTAAACAGGTTTACTTCTGACATACGTAGTATTGCATCTTTAATATAATTTTACTACTAGTTTTCCATTGAGAGACGAATGTTTCAGAAACGATCAAGCACAGATATGTTGGCTTCCAACCAAGTGTAATGTATGAAAGTTAATCTTTTGTATTATTTTTAAACTGTTTTTACAGGATGCTGCTTTTACATTTTGCAGCCATTTTGCTCCCTATTTAATGGCCCTGTTAACAGCCATATAACCCATACATTTTTAATTATGTGTGGTTCTGTCTGATTGCTCTAAAGTTTCTGTGTATGAAAAGGAGAAGCAGAAACCCTATTAATAATTTCGCTAATGGCTGCATTCCTTCCACAATGACAGATATATCTCACCAAGACCTTACCTTTAACTCACCAATATAGCATTACACAAGTAATATACCAGAGTTTGAGAACCTGATCTTAATTGCCAAAGATGCAGATTATACAGTAGGGTGAAATCCAAGCACCCTTGCTTATCTTATCTCAAGAGAAATGAATTCAGGTAATAATCTACATAGCAATCTATACAACATATGTCTACCTCAGCTCAGTACTACCTACATTTAAGAGATGGGAATCTGCGGCCTTCTAGATGCACTACAATTCCCAGTATCCCTTACCATTACCTGGCTAGGGCAGCTGGGAATTGAAATCCAGCCATTCTCAAAACCTGAATGCCTTTTGCAAGCTTATTTGTGTATAACAAAAGGGGAAACCAGAAACCTTTGCACACAACCCATGTGGTCCAGTGTGGGGCTATAATCCCTACCCAAGACTATATTTCAATTAAGTTTTGCAACTCCAAGAATTCAAATCTTAACCAGTAGTCTTAATTATAAGTACTTACTGAGACTGTACCATTGTCAAGACCAACAGATAATCTTCTTGTTTCAGGGTTAACACACATGCAGGAACATGGAGCTGGAAAATAAAATCAATATTGTGACGCTGAACTCCCTTATTTCATTACTTATGAACAGATAAGGTTCCTCTTGCCCATTTTATTCCAGTTCAAAATGGGTGGGAGACAGTGGTGGGATTCAAATAATTGAACAACCGGTTCTCTGCCCTTATGATTTCTTCCAACAACCAGTTCACCAAACTGCTCAGAAACTTTACAACCGGTTCTCCCGAAGTGGTGCGAACTGGCTGAATCCCACCACTTGTGGGAGGGAGGAAGCAGGGCAAGCACTCTAGTATTCATTACCTGTTGTTTTTCAGTAGATTTAAAACATTCACCCACCAAGATTTTATATGCAGGGTTTTTATTCCATCTCCATCCATACCAAAAAACTAAACATCTGGCACAGAAATATGCTGTGTGAGATTTGCAATATTTGGATTTTGTGGACCGGCTTAGGAGGAGTGCTTTGCTCATAAAATACATTCATCTAATTACTTGCCCATTATATGATTCCTGAAGGACTCGATAGGTGGACAAAATGCCAAGTTTAAAATCTGGCTGACTGTGCGAGCAAACCCTAACGATTTATTAAAGTTCTAAGCCACCTGACTCTCAGAGAGCCTAGGCAGCTCACAACCGTAAAAGAAAATGCAATGCAATCAATAAAACATAAAATGTAATGATGATTGGCTAGCCTTTTTAGTGCTGCTGCTAGGACAACTTTCCATGTAGTCTCCAGAAGCCACGTTTGACTCAAAGGAGACTTTAAAATGTTTTAAATTATAATTAAATGTTGACATTTTATCATACACAAAAAAGGCCCTAAAGGGAGCAAGGCAATCAATGCTTTGCAGAATATGCTGAGCCCAGATCAAACATAGGTACGCCAGGGAATATTTTGGGAGAGGATTCAGAGCTTAAAAGGATAAAATGGGTTTCATATGCCAGGTTTAGGCTACTTGTTTTCTTCCCAAAAGAAAACAAAACCTTTTCAAATTCCCCCACCATACATACTCACTCTGAGATAGGATGTAGAGGGAGTCCTCACTTAGCAACCACAAATGGAGCAGCCACTCTGATGCTAAGCAATTCAGTCATTAAGCAAAACATTATGTGACAGTGTAACATGTATGTAAAGTGACATTAAGGTCACTTTATGTGATCACAATTCACAATTTTACTGCCAGCTTCTCCACTGACTGCTTGTTAGAAGGTGGCAGTAAAGCACACACAAATGCTAATCTCGTGACTGCAGCACATTTTCACAATTCTAAATACCCGCCAATTGTGAACTGCTTGAATTTCAATTACTTGATCACAAGTGCAACAACCAGGGATAAAGTTATTTTTAGCACCATTGTAATTTCAGATGGTCAATAAACAGACAATCGTTAAATAAAGACTATTTGAATGGGTAGGATGAACTTTCCATACTAATGCTTAGATATACTAATGTATATTATACTAATATACTAATTACCTAATACTTAGATAATACTTAGATATACTAACTAACTTAGATATACTATTAGATATACTAATATACTAATATATATACTAATTCCATACTAATGCTTAGAAGAGCCGAGGTGGCGCAGTGGTTAGAGTGCAGTACTGCAGTCACTTCAGCCGACTGTTAGCAGCAGTTTGGCGGTTCAAATCTCACGGGCTCAAGGTTGACTCATCCTTCCATCCTTCCGAGGTGGGTNTTACAAGGGGGAAAAAAAAGGTAGTAAAATGAGGCAAAACCCACTTAACTACTGTCCTATTTAGCAATAGAAATTTTGGCCTCAATTGAGATTGTACGTTGAAGACTACCTGTACTTTCATTCACCCAGGTTTTGTTAAGCAAATCAGATTCAAAACCATTTCCTTGTGAAATCCAAGAGCAACAATGGTTCATCTCACTCTCCTCAGCAAACAGTTCTTTGACATGGATGGTGCTCCTTCTGCAGGTGTCAGTTCGGTAGAACTCATCTGCTATAGACATGGGAATTATTCTCCCGTTGTTCTTACTTTCCTCTCATTCCGGTTGAATAATGGGAAAAGCCACCTTGATTTCATATGGACTGGTGTATAGATAAAATCCAACCACACCTTCCGAGGCATGAGCCAAATACACTAGTACATCAAGCTCGGAAATATTTAGGTATCGTTTCATTTATTGAAACCCACCCTTGTCTGTTCTGCAGACGACACATTTCCAATCAGCAACTGCTGCATTTCTAGTTCCTAAAATATCCAGTATTTCAAAATGCTGCAGAGGAACCAATGCAAGATATGGGCTGTTAAGTCAGCATAAATAAGCAACCACGGTGTGTCAGAAGGATAACATCAGTTTATAATTTCAATGCACAAAAGAACATTTACACATTCCAATGCTTGTTTTGTTATGAAATGGCAGGCTGGAAACTCCTTAAAATCGTACATAATGCCGCTATTCCTGGAAAGGATACTGTAATCCACAAGCGCCTGCACTAATCCGGTAATTGCCAAGCCTTTGGCCACTTTCAGAGCAGTGCCAAGTAAAGTGTTTATCCTGCCCAATGCTCAGGAGCCATTCCATTTCCAAAACAAAAAGGACCATCATCACTCTGCCCTGGTGAGCTGGAAGAGAAATAATAATTGGTTAATATCATACACGAGAGCTTTGCTATTCAAGAAATATATTACTTCCAAATCATATTTGTTTTCAAGTTTTTTGTTATCCTGAAGTAGCCTTCTTCCATTTCTACTATTGTTGTGGATTCCTTCAAATTGCCCAAATGACCTCAAAGGAATGCAAATATTATGGAGATGCAGCATCAAGTTGTGTTATATGCCTAGAACAACAGGAAAAAAGTGACGTGAACGAAGGAATGGCGTCGAAAAGCAACTTGAGGGGCCCTGAAAACTAGCCACCGCCAAATGCAGCTGCTTTGATAGCAGCAAACTCAGTTTTAATTTAAAGAGCAGTGAGGGACAATGGGAGTTAATCTTGCTCTCAGATATCAATATTAATAGTGTAACTATCATTCTGTGTATTAGCTTTCTTCAAAATGTATTGAGATGTAACTTCCAAATTCCTTAGCAGCCTAGCAAAAAGAGTAACCTAAAATTCTGGGAATTTTAAACACATAACACAGTTGGTAAACACTGATCTACACTAATGATAGAACACATGCATCTGCTGTCATCTATTTTTTTCTTCTTCTGTTCAATCATGTCTAATGCTCGGGGACTGTCTGAACAAGTTCCTGGAGTTTTCTTGGCAAGGTTTTTCTAAAGAGGTTTGCCAGTGCCTCCTTCCTAGCGCTGAGAGAAACTGACTAGCTAAAGGTCACACAGCGGGCTTTGTGCCTAAGGTGGGACTAGAATTCACCCTCTCCCAGTTTCGAGCCTGATGCCTTAATCACCACAATAAATTGGTTCTCATGTCCTTAATAAAGAACCCTAAATTATATAAGTTTCTTGATCTAAGTATTCAGCCACCTGAAACGCAAGATGGGTGGTAAATACATTTGATAGATAGGTAGATAAAAATAAGTAACTTTCAATGTGGAAGTGTGTCATTTTATTCAGGCTCAATCAGACACAGGTAAATTTTCATTTACACTTTCCAAACCAAGAAGCAAATCTACAGTTTTAATTTAAAGTTATTTATTTGTTTGCTTGCTTTATAAAATGTATCGGCCACCCATCTTACCTCAAGGTAACTCTGGCCAGTTTTCATTTTGTTATCTGATTATTACGAGTGGCATCCAATTAATGAATCCAAACATGAATTATCTTTGTGTCTCACCCCCCTCAGCATAACAAGCAAATGTTGGGTTTTATATGAATTGTTCCATGTAAAAAGGCCAACTATTTGCATTTTCTTAATCTCATGTCTAATTTAAGTGATGAAATCACTACAAGATAAATAGAATTTACAGAACAGAACAGAGTTCAGCTTCAATCTTCCCAACTGGATGCTTCCTATGTATGGATTACACTTCCTATCATCAGTCAGGCACAATTCAACCCGACTGAAGATTATGGGATCTGTAGTCCAATACAATAGAACAGCACCACCAGACTGAAGAAATCTGTTCTATCAGAAAACCAAGGAAAGCTATTTTAAAAAGGGAGAATTATCATCCTGTACAGGTAGGTATTTTTGACAGAAAAATTACTTTCAACAGGTTCTACTTTTATATAGTATTACTGACAGCTATTCGATCAGACTGCAGTATTTGTTCCAGCAGAAGTCTTCATGGTGAACTGCCTTTATTGGATTTGAGCAATCAAATCCTAATAAAACAAAGGAGTTGAAGTCCAAATATCCAGAGGGGCGCACAAAATCCCTTGCTTTCTTTTCATATGACATTTAAAATGAATGCTTTTGAAGACCCAGACCAAAATCTGATCATTGTTAAATAATCACCGCTTATAGATTTAGCAAACTACTTTTCTAATTATCCACTCTTTGACTTCTTAAACAACACATTTTCTTCGCATTGATAAACTTCTCAGAATATGTCTGCACTCTTATTCTTTCTTTGTTCCATTATTTTCAGACACGAAGACTTAAAAAACAGCTTTAGACCACGAAACATAGAAGGTGTTGTATTCTGGAATCAGTGTAAGTAATATAAATGACATCACTTAGAACCAAGCACTGTACATTAAATTTATTTCTTCTAATAACAATGTATTCATGTTATTGACTGAGACTAAAGGCTGAAATGTATAGGAGATGTGAAAAAACACCCAATCATCAAAAGCTGTTGAGCTGCAAAGAAGAAAAAATGTAGACACCTGCATTTGACCAGAAGTTGTTTTAAAGTCATAAAGAGGTTTTGCTTGCCGTTCTAAACAAATGCAAGAAGTTGAAAATCTGGTAGTGCTGTGATGAATTTAACATAGATTATTGAAAAAATAATAATTTGGAAAAGTGATATTGTTTCAAACTTTTCTCACAATAGTAGCAAAAGTATGTTATAATTCATAGCCTTGGAACTTAATAATGAAGATGAACAGAATGCTATTATGTTTGCAGATAGCAACTTTAATTAAAAAATTAAAAACCACCCTAAATATGCATTATGCGGGGAAAAAGCCAGAACTATTTAAAAAGCCAGTCTACAATAATTGATTGCTTTTGGAGGCTGTGAAATAAGGACAAATAAATCTGGAGGATTTTTTTTTCCTCTTAAAATACCAACTGCATCTCTTACCCTGGTAACTTTTAACTGCTGTCATCTTGTTGTAATCTTCTGATAAAATAAATTCCTGGAAAATAACAGAGTAGCCACTTTAGAATGTAGTAAATATCTAGTTTGCAATGTAACATTTCTTGTTAAAATCCAAGAATTTATCATTTTGTGCCAATCGTTTTGGATCTTATTCCCTTTAAATTCCAGTGAAAGAGACATGTTCCTCACTTCTAATTCATTGGCTTGTCTGAAAATTCTGAAGGCATCTCAGGTCAGAATGAGAGAAATATGACCTTTTCAACCATAACCTCCCCACCCCACAAAACCAGGTATCTGTGAAAAATGAAAACACGGCTTGGAAATCCCGGTTTTCCTGCATAACATCTACATAGCAAAGTTCTTCTTCTCAGAAAACAAACAAAATCTAGAGATATTTCTAAGGTGTGTGTTGCAGACGTAAGATTCGGCCCAGGATTCTCGAAATGTGTTGGAACTACGATTCCCAAAACGCTAATAGCAAATGCTAGGATTTCTAATATCCCCAGAGAGCGCCGGATTGGGGATGACAATCGGAGAGGGGCTTCACATTTATTTATTTATATCCCACCTTTAATACTGAGCCCCCAATTTTGGCGCACAGTCTTCTGTTGCCTAGTTTTAAGCACTAGACCAAATTCGCATTAAGGTGAAGTGTGATTTGCTAGTTTTGCCTTAGTATGTTATGGAAACCTACCAGCTTGTGATATATTTGATAAGCTATGATTAAAAAAACCTGAAGCTTGCTGCAACTTCAAGGAAATTATGCAGTTCTTTCTGCCTAGTGTATGCTTACACAAGAGTACTGGCAGATGGTAGCGATATCCAATTATCTCTACCAGTAGTGGATAATCAGCGGTTGCTAATCTACTATCTTATCCACTCAGACTGGAGAAGGCTTTCCTGTGACATACTGAGAAAAGCATTTCACAGGCACAATTGATGATGATTCATTTAAATCAGTTGCATTAGTTATAGGACTCTTGCTTTAAAAAGCGGATGGAAAGTTGTACGATGAAAAGTTGAAACTAGTCAAGATAAAACGTAGAGAAAATAAAAACAAGAGCTAGAAGGCAATGACAGGACAGTGATTAAGCTGCTACCATTGCTAGAAATCCTTCCAATTATTTACAAGTATAGTGGCACCTTGGTATTTGACTGCTTTAAAACTTGTCGAATTAGATACTCGATGCATTTTGATGCAAAAATGTTGTCCATTACTTGTAGCTTCTTTGATCTTTGGCAGCTGCAAAAGGAAGAATGGGATTCCTCCAATGGGCGATAGGAAGACGGCCCTGCTGGGAAGGTCACTGATATAGGAAAAAAGGCAGACAGAGAGTTTTTCCCAGCCAAAACAAAGGGTAACGTCATTTGTTTTGCACTTGTAGTTTTTAGTACCTATCATGCCTCCTGGACCAGTTAATGTCAAGTACCGAGGTACCACTATATACAGAGAAAGGAGTGAGGTTTACAGTTATGTAGTTTATTCATCATCACAGGGTGACAAAAAAGAAGTCAAATATAAAGGAAGATAGCATGGAGCAATAGAAGAAATTTAGCAAAATTAAAAGCCAGTGACTTTTACTTAAAAGGATGTTAATGAGGCAATAGCATGGCAAGCTCAGACAGCACTAAGGACCCCCACAGTTCAACTGTAAGCTACAAATATACTCTTCTGTTAGGACAATTACTATTACTGCATTTTGGCTGTGCTAATGAACTCCAGCATCATCAAAAACGCTTTACTGGAGTGGAGAAAAATTCAAGTCAAGGGCACAGATGGCCATTTTTGATATTTGGATACCATTATTAGCTCGTGCATTGCTTTTTATTGTATATATTCTTCATGTAGTTTGATTGCCTTTATTGTATATATGGATTGTATGTATGCAGGTGTATGTATGCAGGTGTATTCCTGGCCACGTAGTAATTCGAAAGCATGCAAATCTGAGTAGATAAAATAGGTAGCAATTTAGTGGGAAAGTAACAGCATTCCGTGTGCCTTTGGCACATAGCCATGCTTGCCACATGACCACAAAAATGTATTTGGACAATGCTGGCTTCCTCGGCCAAGAAATAGTATTGAACACGACTGATAGGGAAAATGTTTACTTTTTCTATTGCTTTTTGAAACTCAGTCTAACTTACAAGAGAGTCTTAGATACACATTATTCTGCTACATATAAGCATATAGCAGTGAAGCTTCTTCAAGAGGTGTTATATATGTGTATGTGTGTGTGTGTATATATATACACACACACACGCATGATTCCCATTAATAAAAAATAATCCAAGTCTCTTCTGGTTGTATGACAATGCCACAATTAGCAACAATCAGTGTCCATCACTTCTTACAACAGAAATGCACTCTATGCTCTGCTTTCATTCTCTTCTGCTAGACTTCCAACATGCCAATTCTAATGTGCATTTTGGGGAACAAGTGCAGTTGTTCTGGCTTGGAGAAGTAGAATACAGATAGTCCTCAAGTTACAACCACAGTTGAGCCCAAATTTCTGTTGCTAAGCGAGTCATTTGTTAAGTGAGTTTTGCCGAGGTGGCGCAGTGGTTAGGGTGCAGTACTGAAGGCCACTACAGCTGACTGTTATCTGCA